TGAATATATCATGGAAACTAAAGCCAATCAACATTTTTTAGGGTCATTTTCATTTTCAGCACCCCAAAATTATGTAAGATTAGCTAATTTTATGCCCAAAACTTTTTACCAGTTGAACAGTGTTATTATGGGGATGTGTTGCTACCAGAGTTGTTGCAGGTTTTTTATGGATAAATACTAGAAGGAGCTCTACCTGCCTCTATGATGGAGGCTACTATTATTGTTCTGCTTAAAGAAGGAAAATATCTGCTTAAACCACTTTCATATAGACCAATATCCCTGTTGGGCACAGATGTGAAACTTTTGGCGAGCGTTCTAGCCAATACTCTCAGTAACCCCATTCAGGTACTTATACACCTGAACCAGTCTGGGTTTATACCTAATAGATCAACTAGTGTGATTATTTGACAAGTGTACAGAACTCACAGATCCCAGTGATAAATACAGGAGCGAGAACTTGTTGGTTCTTGACACAGCCAGGGCTTTTTTAATAGCCTGGAGTGATATTATCTTTGACATGTGTTGGGGGCTTTTCAGTTTGGTCCCTCCTTCATTAATTGGGTTAGATCGCTTTATAAGGCACCTAGAGTGAAATTAAGAGTAAATAATGAATGCTCTGAGACCTTTTCTTTGGCTCGGGGTACTAGGCAGGGGAGCCTTTTGTCCTATTTTCCCTAGCAATGGAACCATTGGCAATAGCCATAAGATCATTGCTGGATGTTCAGGCGTTCCAGGGGACATCTGGGGAGGAGAAAATAGCTTTATATGTGAATGATGTACTTCTATTCCTGGGGGACACTCAGTCCTCATTGATTAATGCAATGGGTATATTTGGTGACTTCGAGCAGTTTTCTGGCCTGACCATTATTAGGGATAAATCAGTATTAGTACTTGTGAATCCATTAGAGGAACCTTTACCAGCCAGTCTTCCTCAGATGGAGATAGCTAATAAAATAAATTATATAGGGGTATATATAACAGGAAATACTAATAACTATAATATTGATTAATTAATAGCTACTTTTATAAGAAAATGTGGGGTGCGGATGGGAGAATACATGTAGAGATATGGTGATGACCTGTACTGGGCACAATACGGTGGTGGAGGCTTTAGAGGAGGAGTCTTTCAATTTTATAGTGTTCTATGCTGTCATCGTTAGTAAATTAGTTAGTTAAGGCATTAATGGGGTATCGGGGATTCACAGAATTATCCCCAATTTGATATAATAAGAACATGCAGGAGCTGTTTAGTATAGGAAGAATTAAGGAATGGGAAAACTGTGGAATAGTACGTTTGGCCCAGTTGTATAAGCCTGATTCACTGAAAGAGGAGTTTGCAATTCAACATCAGTCTTTCTAAAGATATCTGCAAGTTAGGCATGCTCTGAGGGAGCAGTTTAAAGGATATGCATTAGAGTGGAGTAGGATAACCCAGTTACCTGAGGTAATATTTGCATAATCCTCCAAGGGAATGATATCTGTTGTTTATGCTGCAATACATATTGTGGCATTAAAGAGAAATGTTGATCTCCCATGTAGAAGTAGAGGGGTGAAGGACATAGGGAGTATTACAGAAAAGGAGTGGAAATATATATTGGAAGCATTACCATTGGTGTCCACTCCCCCTTCACAGAGGATTTCATGTGTATTTTTATTATATAGAACTTACCGTACCCCCAAAAGTTTGTTCATATTTGGAAGACATCCAGTTGCTGCATGCCCGTGATGTGGGAATCGATTGGTGACCTCATCAATATGGTCTGGCGATGCCTCAAACTGAATATGTATTGGTTAGGTATTCATGATAGCATAAATTCTGTGTTTGAAGTGTCCTTGGGCCTGGATCCTAATGTATGTATAATGGGCTATATGAGGGTGGCACAGTTGACTGAGCAATCCTTGAGGGAACTTTCTCATATAACACAAGGTCTTAGGTGTTTATTTTAGGGTTGGAAGCTTATTGCAGCGGACCCTCCAACAAGTATAGAATGGGTTAAAAGAGTAAAACATACTGTAAGAAGTGAAAAGTTTGTCTGCACGAAAAGGAGGTGTCTTAAGAAATTTGAGAAAATATGGGGACCCTGGGTGGATACTATAGGACTGACCTTTCATAACAAGAGGGTGCTGAATAGAGTGTTAGAATAATTTTAAAATGCAGAAATAAGAAATGAATGTATTATATGTTTATATTTAACCACTAGCCTACAGGGCACTTATACCCCCTTCCTGCCCAGGCCAATTTCCAGCTTTCAGCACTGTCACACTTTGAATGACAATTGCGCGGTCATGCAACATTGTACCCATATGCACTGATGGACAATGATAGGTGGCACTGATGGGCACTGATGAGGAGGCACTGGTAGGTTGCACTGATGGGCGTTGACAGGCATCACTGATGGGCACTGAAAGGCAGCACTGATACATGACACTGATACATGACACTGATACATGACACTGATATATGGCACTGATAGGCGCCACTGATAGGCAGCACTGACTAGCACTGATAGGCGACACTGATGGGCACTGATGAGGAGGCACTGGTAGGTTGCACTGATGGGCATTGACAGGCATCACTGATGGGCACTGAAAGGCAGCACTGATACATGACACTGATACATGACACTGATATATGGCACTGATAGGCAGCACTGACTGGCACTGTTAGGCGGCACTGACTGGCACTGTTAGGCGGCACTGACTGGCACTGATAGGCGGCACTGACTGGCTCTCTCCCTGAGCGCTCCCTGAGCCGCGAATGCACAGTGAGAATGGTAGGACGTCATATGACGTCCTATCAGAACGAGAGAACCACCTTGCGCCCATCATTGTACTATAGGGCAGGCGGAAGGTGGTTAAACAGCCCCATTGGTTTAATAATATGGATAAGAGTGATACACCAATGTATGTGTGGGAAGGGGGAGGGGGAGCAGGTTATGTTATTTGTATGTATATACAATATATACAGTTCAATAAAAAATATTTGCCTATTAAAACCTATTCCTATCATTTGTTTGGTTTTAAAGATAAAGTTACAACAACTTATATTTTGTCTTCCCTGGTTTCTCTTTTCCAATGTCATCTACAGTACATGCAAATATTTTTTTTTAAATAAATATTTCAGTTTTCCTTACATACCTTACTTTAGACTCAGTGACATCATCACCGAGTCTCTGTGCTTCTCTATACAATGCAGGCAGATTATGTATGGGAGAGGGGCCTGCAGGTTCCTGTATATAGCTTTCTAAAAGCATCACTGCACTTTGCCTCAGTCATTTTTCCCAGGAGTCTTCAGTCCTTCATGCAAACAGGAGGATACCTCTTGGGTGGCACTATACAATCTTGAAGAGCAGGCATTCCCAAGAAGGCTGCATTTACAAGTAGATGACCCTAGGCAATGCCCATAAGTGATGCTAAGCTTTGATTAAAAAAAACTGAAATCTAATAAAAGTAGGTGGGGAAGATAAGGCTAGAATATGCTGTATGACCTCCAACTAGGAAATGAGACAGGTTCTACCCAACCTGCTGCAGCTTCTAATGCTCACTGTAAGAAGCTCACAGAAGTGAAAGCAGAATAAGCAATTTTAGTACAGAAGAGAAGACTGTACATTTGCACAAGACTGAATGTAAGGATGGAATTTAGCTTTAAACATTTACAAACAAAGCTGTACCATTCAAAGCTTTTGTTCCTGGTTTCATCGGGGTCTGCCACCCACTCTGACAATAAGTAGAATTTTGTTAGCTTATTTAATTGGTTATGAAAGTATGAGGTAAAGCCCCACAAACAAACATTAGTTATCTCCTGGACAGTACATTGCGACCTTAAGTCTTGCTGTTTCTGGTCCATATCTACTACTGAATAAATGAAGTAAATCATTCTGGCAGACAGATAATTAAATAATTATCAGCCACTTAATAACAGGGAGTGGGTGTTCAGAATTACCATATTAGACAGTGTCTTTAAGGTCTAATTGTTGCATTACATCAGAGTTACTCATTCATTATTCTTGTCATTTCGGGTGATAATTTGCACTTTAGGAGACAGCGACAATTTTAGCAGGTAATTAGAAACATGTCAGGTTTGGCCTAGTGAGTTACTGTCACAATTACAACATTTATCCTGGTATCCTCATTTGCAGAATAAAGAGATGGCAAAAATACAGTTTACATTGTGTCATAAGAAATATTTCTCATAGGAGATGATTGTGAATAACTAATCAGCACATATGTAAACACTATCTATCTATCTATCTATCTATCTATCTATCTATCTATCTATCTATCTATCTATCTCTATATCTATTTCTATAGCTATCATCTATTTATCGTATCCAAAAGCTATATACCAGTAACTTTAACTTTTTTCAGATATTAATTTATTGGCTGCAATGGGAAAAATGACAATGCACAATGTCACATCCATTTTGTTGTTGCTTTTTTTTTGCCTATTACTCATCAATGTGGCTCTGTGGGCTCTAATTTGTATCCCACCTTTCTGTTTAGTAAGATTTCACTTAAGAAAATCTCTGTGTATAAATTTACTCAAGGTTGGTGGACGTATTTGGTATAGGTCACTACTTGACTTTGGGGTTTATTTACTAAACCTGGAGAGTGCAAAATTAGGTACATTTTGCATAGAAGCCAATCAGCTTCCAGGTTTTATTGCCAAAGCTTAATTTAACCACTAGCCTACAAGGCACTTATACCCCCTTCCTTCCCAGGCCAATTTCCAGCTTTCAGTACTGTCACACTTTGAATGACAATTGCATGGTCATGCAACATTGTACCCATATGAAATTTTTATCATTTTTTTTTTTTAGACAGATAGAGCTTTCTTTTGGTGGTATTAAATCACCTTTATTTATTTATTTATTAATCACTTGGGATTTATTTTTCTTAAACAAACCAAAAACCACTGAAAATTTTGAAAAAAAAAGTTTTTTCTTAGTTTTTGTTATACAATTTGTAAATAAGTGATTTTTCTCCTTCACCGATGTGCTCTAATGAGGCTGCAGTGATGGGCACTGATAGGTGGCACTGATGGGCACTGATGAGGAGGCACTGGTAGGTTGCACTGATGGGCATTGACAGGCATCACTGATAGGCACTGAAAGGCAGCACTGATACATGACACTGATATATGGCACTGATAGGATGCACTAATAGGCAGCACTGACTGGCACTGATAGGTGGCACTGACTTGGGCTGCTAGGTGGCACTGACTGGCACTGTTAGGCAGCACTGACTGGTACTGATAGGCGGCAGTGACTTGCACTGACTGGCACTGATAGGTGACACTGACTGGCACTGATATGTTGCACTGATTGGCATTGATAGGTGGCACTGACTGGCACTGATGGGTGACATTGAAAGGAAGCTCAGATGGGCACTGATATGTGGCATTGATGTGCACTGGTATGCACTGATATGTGGCATTGATGTGGCACTGATGGGCACTGGCACGTGGCACTGATGGGCACTGGCACTGATAAGCACTGACAGGTGGCACTTCTGGGGCCACACTGATCATCAGGGCACACTGATCATCAGTGCCCTGATGATCAGTGTACATGTCCCCTCTGCGGAAAGCCAATTACCGCCTCTCCTCTCCTCTCGAGCTGTCAGAGTGACAGCTCGAGAGGAGAGAAATGCAGATAACCGGCATTTCCGTGTTTACATGTGATCAGCTGTGATTGGACACAGCTGATCACATGACCGAGCTGACATCTTCGGCTCTTTCCGTGATATGCTGTGTCCGAGGGACACAGCGGACCAGCGATCGCCATGCTGCGCGCTCCCTGAGCCGCGCATGTCCAGTGAGAATGGTAGTACGTCATATGACATCCTATCAGAACGAGAGAACCACTTTGCGCCCGTCATTGTACTATAGGGCGGGCGGAAGGTGGTTAACAAGCTGAGGTTAGAAGTTGATTGGCTACCATGCACAGGTGCACCAGATTCTGAAACCCTTTGTGTCCATGGGCAACATCAGCCTATCATGGGCTGTTAATAGCACACCAACTATAATTGACAGCACAGACACATAAGGGAAGGTAAGTCCAAATATGGCAGTGAAGGCATAGGCAACCCAGGGGGGTACTTCCTTTTGTTAGAGGAACTCCTTTAAAAGATAAGTTCACCTTTTGGACAAAAATAATAAATGCATATTTTTTGCAGGTAAATGCGGGATGTACAGTCAAGCAGATATTCTGACAGGAAGCTTCAATGAACTGTGGAGCACCGTGGTAGTTCATTGAAAACTACAAGCCCCCAGCCGCTAAGGCTGTCGGGACTTGCAGTTCAATAATTCAGGGAAGTCCATAATTGAACGACGCGGCCATGTGGGTGGAGCCCCGCACGGCCGTGCTGTTTTCAAACCTGACAGATAGTATGGGGAAACTTCTCCCCATACAATCTGTCAGGAGAGGGATTGTGGGCAGCTACAGCTATAGGAACATGTTACATGTTCCACCCGAAAAATGGGTGGAACATGTAACATGTTCCCAAAGGTGAACTTATCCTTTAAAGCACCTATTAATATTATAGTATGTATAGGATGGTAACAGCAATGCAGGAGGCTGAATGTTCACCATTTCCTTACTGTGGGGATACCAGCCTGCCTAGTGTGCTGGGCTGATTAGTTGTGGGAGAGGGGCACAATCTTTTTTTTAACATAAAAAAAATACATTTAACTGTGAAACTGTGACCTTTTCTGAAAATGAACCAAACAAAATTCCCAGAATTTGCCAAAAACATCCACCACAAAGAGTTGTTCAAAAGTGAAATAGAGCTGCTGCTGTACTATCAAGATTCATCCTGGCAAGATCTGAACCAGTGAACTTCATACAAAGAATATCATATAATTCGTAAAATGAATCTTGCCCAAAATTTCTGGTCTGTCCTGTTTATTTTTGTTTAGGGGAAGTTACTTATTTTTTCAAATGACTAATTTCACAAATTAATCAATGATAAATACACCCCTTTTTAATAATGTTTAGTTTCATCCATAGGATTAGATTAGTAGGTAGATTAGTAATTAGATACATTTTATTGGAAGTAGATAGATTAGGATTAAATATTGTCTTTAAATTGAAAAAAAATATTTATGATCATAATAATTTCATAGACTGCTTTGATTCTTTAGAACAGGCTAACTTGTCATCCTAGAGCACCTAAAAGCTGAAAAATGAACTAATTTACAGCTTTTTAATGGAATTTACATAACATGCTCTCAACTTGGTAGGCCTTGAGCTTTTGTCATTTTTGAACTTATCAAAAATGGTCTGTATGCCTGTAATGTAGGCCTCATTTGATAACATTAAGATATGTGCCTCAGTAAAGGGGAACATAGATGGACATCTTCTAACTGACGCATGCAAAGGCATACGGAGTGAACAAGTCTCTTTATACTGTTAGATAATTAGTTTATGTGAAATCTCCATTAACAGATGTAAATAATATTAGAATTACAAGTATATTTTAGCTAGATGGAAATATACAGTATTCAAACCATGGAGTGTTTTGCAGCATCAAACTATTCCTAGCTTCCATACTGGTGTAAATGTATATAGTTTTTCCACTATATAAGTTCTGGTCCCTTATCACAGATCACATGAGTGGTAAACAGCAGCCTCCTTTGAATCAGGCTGTGCCCAATATACATTTGCTAGGTACAGTGACCAATTAGTGAGCATTATATTAGCCACAGTACAGAAAGGAGGGGGGATATAATGCTTTGTCACCAAGCTGTGGATCTCTTTGTGTTGGGACACCCAGCAGCCAACATGACCAGACCTGAAATTGCGAAGTAAACTAACTTCATACTTGTATTGTACATTGTATTGTAAATATGGTTTTGTGGATAATATGTACATATCATATAAGTCAAGGAACCTAAACTGTACCTTGTGTTGTAAATACTGCTTAGTGTGTAATTTGTATATACAGTATTATGTAAATCTTTCAATAAATGTATATTGCAGATGGAACTACCTCTTTTGTGTAAGAACTCTCAGATCTAGCTGTGTATTTGTAAATACTCCTACAGGGGTTATTCACATATTATTCACAAATACACATAACTTAGGTAACAATACATACCTAATGCTTAACTCAAAGCATCCGTACTATGATGATATGATATAATAGTCATATACACTATCAGGGCTATTTATAGCCCAGAGTGGATACAGCTACAGTTGCAAGAAAACGTATGTGAACTCCTTGGGATTACATAGAATTTTGTATGAATTGGGCATAAAATGTGCTCTGAATGTCATCTAAGTCACAACAATAGAAGAACACAGTCTGCTGAACATAATACTACACAAACATTAGATGTTGCCATGGTTTAATTGCACATAACATGTAAACATTCACAGTGCAGGGAGGAAAAAGTATGTGAACCTTTGGACTTAATAACTGGTTGACCCTCCTTTGGCAGCAATAACCTCAACCAAATGTTTCCTGTAGTTGCAGATCAGACCTGCACAACGATCTGGAGTAATTTTGGACCACTCCTCTTCACAAAACTGTTTCAGTGTAGCAATATTCTTGGGATGTCTGGTGTGAATCGCTCCCTTAAGGTCATGCCACAGCATTTCAATCGGGTTGAGGTCAGGACTCTGACTAGGCCACTCCAGAAGGCGTATTCTGTGCTGTTGCAGCCATTGTTTTGTTGAATTACTTGTATGCTTTGGGTCATTGTCCTGTTGCATCACCCATCCTCTGCGGAGCTTCAGTTGGCGGACAGATGGTCATGCATTTTCCTGAAAAATGTCTTGATAAACTCTGGAATTAATTTTCCCATCAATGACAACAATCCGTCCAGGCCCTGAGGCAGCAAAGCAGCCCCAAACCATGATGCTCCCTCCGCCATGTTTTACAGTGGGGATGAGCACATTTTATGCCCAATTCATGCAAAACTCCACGTAATCCCAAGAGGTTCACATACTTTTTCTTGCAACTGTATCTGTTCTTCATTGCACACCCTAATGTTACTCCATCATGAATCCTGCATTTTATGATCCTTACATAACATGTAGGCTACACTGTTAAGCATGCAGAGTCTTTACATAGATCTATCTGCTTAAAACTGCATCAGAAATTCTGTGATTGGAGGAGAGACTTAAACTATAACTTTGATGGGTCATATGACCAGGCCCTCCTCCTGGCTACTATTTTATTCCATTTATTTGAAAAGCTCTCCAAAGCAAATTGAGAACAATACATATTGCAAAGCACACAGCTGTGGTTTATAATTATGAATAATGGTCCAGTTTTGCTTCAATTTGTTTTAAATTTAATCCCTGTGGTTAATTTGAAGATGACACTGCATGTTTTGATATGTTTCTAAATATTCAGTAATGTTTGTTCGTATAAATACATGAATGTATATGCCATCCTTTATAACCTTAAAAACTGTTATTTGGTGTTATACTGTGTTGTGTTGTGTGGTAACACAGTGGCACAAAAGGTTAAGTACTGATTCCATGCAGTACAGAGCTTCTGCACTCAAACCCTTTAAACTGAAACATGCATAAACTACTGCAAATATGTTAGCACTATATAAATAATGAAAATAAATAATATGTGTGTAACCTTTACATCCAAGTTCTCTTTGTTCTGTATGATTAATTGTTGTCTAATTTCCTATGCTGGCACTAATGTGGGTTTACAGGAAGGATTCACTTTTCTTAAAATAAAAGATCACTGTAGGATGTAGAAGGAATAAACTAGATACTATATCCCAGCCTAACAGCTCTGAAAGAAATGTGCAAGCAAAAATCAGCATGGTCAACTGTAAATAGTCTCCTAGGGTTATATAATTCAGCCTCCATGGAAGAAAATAAAATAAAGTTAATTATAGATATTGCCCCATGTGTAACACTAGGTAGGAGATAATGAAGAAATCAATATGCTCACAGATTGTTAAACACCACTTTATTATTAAAGGCAAATAAAATAATATTAATAGGGGTGATAGAGGTTTGACAAAATACAGTTTTTTTAAAATTATTTATCAATTAACAAAAACAGTTTGTGGTAAGCCAAAGTCTAAGCTTGTAAATCAGTATACCAAAGTAAAATAAAACATATACATACAATATTACTAAACATATTAAAATAATAATGAAAAAAGAATGCTGAATAATAATATTTTAGATTTGTAATATGTAAGTTGTTAGTTTACTAGAAGTACTGTATTTAATGAATAGTACAATTACAGAGGTTTTTATGTTTTATTTGAAAGGTAGCAACTACACTAAAAATATGAATGAAATCTAGACAGATATAAAGACACCAAATGCTGGACTGTATTCCTTAGTACAGTGTTTCTCA